TAAATAAATAAATAAATAAAATAAAAATAATAATAATAATAAAAATTTAAAAAAATCTGATTTCCTCTGATTATTTTACAGGTCATTGCTTTCTAAAACGGTGATTCATTCAAAAAGCATCATTGACTGACTGTATAATTAGCTGATTATTTCATGATGATCTTTTCATCCCTGCATTTACTTCTTATGGCTCTTGTCCACTCGTTTCAACTTAGTTTAAAGATTTTTCACTACCAACAGTTACGTGGTACCATTGCCTGTTTTTGGAACCTAAATCACAGGGTTTAAGTTTTGCCAATGATATTAGAAGTGGCAGTAATGCACCAAAATGTTGCCAGCCAACCGCCATTGAAGAAGAAACTAAACACAGAAGAAACTAAAGACAATTTAAATGCTGTAAAGCTATTACCGGACCACCAACGACCACACTGGCTGGAATGGTTCAAACTGGAAAACAATGAAGGTCGTTCAGCCGACTGGCTGCCATTAACTGAAACTGACCGCCGAACAATAGGATGGAGAGGTGATTACTAGACTCCATACTGGATACGCTCTGCAATCAATGTTTACTAGCATGTCTGATGCCCATATAATGATTATGGTACCACCACAGCCAATAATTAGGGACAAGAGGTTCCTTACTATCTGTATATTTTGACATGATTTGCAGGATTCTAACATTTTAAAAGTAAAATTTCACAAAATATGTAACCGTGAGATGCTCTAAATGCAAATGTTCTGCTTTCTTTGAATTATTAACAAAAGGTTGTTTCCTACCATTACTGTGTTCACTCAGGGTACCTGGCCCGCAGAGTTGGATGGTCTAGAATGGCTCACAAGATCCTCCCTCCTGTAGTCTCCGGTCCTCCAGAGTTTGAACGAACTTTTCGTGCACAGTAAGTCAGTTGCCTGTACAGATTAAAATTTAATGTGCTAGTTTTGGAAGATAGGAAAGAGACTTGCCAAATTACGGTGACTTTGAACAAAAAATACATCACTCTTAAATTCTGTTGACCTTTTTCGTGTTTTGTGAGTGTTCATGGTTGTGGGATGTCATAATTTTTCAGAAACCTTTCCATTTTCTATGTTTGTTTAATAATCCAGTCCTTGAGTGCCACTACCCTCCAACTCTGATTCATCCTAAAGTTGAATTTAGATAATGTTGTCCTGGAAACAAGTTTTCCAGAGCCACCACAAACTTCATCTTTGTATAGTTACCTCATGCTTGGAACCTTTTAAACAGAAACTGTTAGAGACTATGCTAAAATTTTTAGTCAAGTTAATTTTAGGGTTTGTAATTAATTAGGTTTTAAAAGAAAACTACATGTTGACAAAATAAGTAACATT